CCCAAATCGAATGACGCTTACGACGCATACATATACACAACATCGCCTAATAAAACACACTTACAAACCTAACACAATTAAAAACGGTTCAAATAAAAGAGTCAGCGCGGGGGCAAGTCCTTTGCCAATGTTCGGCAACTCTGGAACATTTGCAGTTCGACACCATGTAGAAAGAGAGAGAGAGAGAGAACGTGTGGAGCGAGGGGTGGAGAAAGAGATATATTATATATATATTTATATATATATATATATATATATATATATATATATATATATATATATATATATATATATGTATGTATACCTAGATGTGTAATGATAATTGATACATATAAAAGAAAATTACCTACATATAACGAGGAGACGAACGAACGTTAATGAGAAAAAAGATACAAAAAACAAAATAATTATAAAAATCAAAAACAAAAGGAAAAAAAAAACAAAGGATTTGTTTCAAACAATTATTTGTGATTTTAATACATGAAATGATAAAGATAATGCTAATGATAACGTTTATGCAAATGACTAGAGAGCCCTACGTTTAATAATATTATTCATACAATATATATATATATATAAAAAAAATAAAAACAAAATAAAGAATCATTTAAATTAACAGTTAGTGCTTTTACTTTGTTAACTGTGGCGAAAAAATAATACAAAAGCAATTTGAAAATGAACAAGAAAAAGAAAATGAAACAGGAAATATTTTAACAACATAAAATTCATGCAGAAATACGCTATTATTATTTATGCAGAAATACAATTATTTATGTGTAAAAAATGCAAAATAAAAAAAAAAAAAACAAAAACAAAATACCAACAATTTGAACGTTGTTTGTAATCAAATCTTATTATCGTCTTCGTATGGGCCAGATCTTTAGCCGGTCTCCCTTTCCAATTCCAATTGGAGTATATCCTTGCTTTAGTTCTGGCCTAATAACTGTAACTAATTGTGCTCGTCGCATTAAGAAACTTTATGTAGTATTTGTGCATTATTTATTTTCGATTGTTTAGGCTATGGATATACAAACTAGAGGTGTCTTAGAATTTACGACGCTTGAGCAGCTCCGGCCGCCAATTGATCGGATGCGTCTCCTCGCTGGCCTCGTCATCCTCCTTGTAGACCTTGATTGTTTTGTCGGCCTCGGCGGTGATGAGACGTGTGCCAGATTGATCGAAGCACAAGGCGAAAATGCCCGCCTCGCTGTCCATGGAGCCGGGCTGGACGGGCGCCTGGAAGCGCTGAAAATTATAGCCGGTACGCCAGTCCCAAAAGAACATGGTGCCGTTGTCACCGCCAGAGACGAGCACGCCATCCGAGTTGGCGGCCATGCAGTTAACGATTGCCGTGTGGCCAGAAATGTTTTGCACAAAGTTGCCCTCGGGACAGCGCCATTGTTTGATATTGTCGGGCGAGGCGGAGGCGAACATATACAGCGATGGATGCAGCACAATGCTGCGCACGGATTTCTTGTGATTGGTCAGCGTGCAGACGCTTTTGCCGGCAGCCAGATCCCACAAACGGACCGTGGAATCATGTGAACCGGTTATAATCTGTGGATTGGTTGCCTGTGCTACCACGCTAGCGACAGTGTTTGTATGGCCCGTCAATGTGTGCACATTGGCCTTGGTGCGCATATCCCAAATGCGGGCCGTTGAGTCACGCCCGGATGTGGCGAGCACATCAATTGTTGGATGCAGTGCCAACGAATAGACGGCGGACAGATGGCCATGGTAATGTCGTATTACCTTGTTGTATTCCAGATCCCAGCACTTCACCTGACGATCCTCACCGCAACTGAAAAGATACGGATGCTTTGCGCTAACCGCCACACCGCGCACGGTGCTCACGTGCCCGGTTAGCGATAGCTTCAGTTTGCCGCTGGCCAAATCCCAAATCTTGATGACACGATCACCAGCGCCGGTGGCAAACCATTCGTTGCCCGGCTCCACAGCTATGCAACGCACCCAGCCCAAATGACCGGAGATGACACGCGATAGCTTCCATGGCGCATGCCACTTGGGCTTGGGTATGCTGGGCGCTTTCTTTGGTATCAGCTGCACATTGCTGGCTCCGCTGTTGCTTGGCATCGAAGCGCGCACTAATGAGGTATTGCCACTTAATGGCGTCTTCTCCTTGTCCCGATTGTATCTAACCAGGCTGCCAGACTCTGTGCCCGTTGTGCCCAAGTCCGAGCTCGCCATGCTGCCATCCGTGATGGCCAGAGGCTTGTCAATTTGTAATGCGGACATCTTTTTGGCGTCCATCGATTTGATGGCGCGGTCAAGCACCAAACCGTAAGTGTCCCTTGCTTTTATTGAGCGTCTCAACTTCTCGCTGTAAAATTGTGGAAGTTGTAATTGAATGATGCGATTTTAGCGGCATTTTTGCACTTACAGGCGGTCATCAATATCCGGCAAATTGCCTTGGTTTGATACAAACAGATCGTGTGTGCGTTTAAGCGAGCGAAATATAAGCGTATGCACGCTGTGCTTTTGTACATCTTCCATTTTTATGTCAGTCAATCAAATCAGTCAATAAAATAGTTTATTTACACGAAAGCGCTAATGAAAACGTTTGATTTGCAGTTCCAAGTAAACGGAGACAGTATTTGCCATTCACACAAATTACAATCGTTATCGATTGCCGCCAAGAGTTTTCAGTATTTTTTTTTTTTTTTGTTTCAATTGCATGACAAACTAAACAAACTAATATGTTTCTTGCTTAATTATGTCACGTTAATGGCATTTTGTATTTATCATTTATTTAGAAACATAATATGCATTTTGCCTATTACGTCACAAAAACGTGCCGACAGTCGGAAATACGGCTTGTATGTAATCGATTGAAAATCGGCATAGTTGTTATCGAACTCTTCGATATACGATAGACACTGTGGTACAATTAAATTTTTAATTTACGTGACACTGAAACTGCTCCAATTCAGCTCTACAGTTATAAAGTCACCCTCCACGCTGCAAACCAATCAATTATAATGCTATGTTCATTCATTTCTGAAGCAAATATGGTTTTTTTTTTTTTCATTCTTTTTTATTTCTAGTTAGCGGGAACCGGTGAGCCTGAAGCTGCGTTACTCGATGATATAGATGAGGATGTGGGCGAAACGGATGCCGACGAAGCGCTGGCCGTGCCATGCGCATTTTCCTGAGCCGGAGAAGGTCTCGTGTTGAAAAACTGAGTGATCTGCAATTTCAAGATACACATTTTGCATTTGTGAAAGTCACAAATTTGTTGCTTGGCCTCTTACAATTCGTTTAATGTATTTGCACGCAGTATCGTTATCCGAACTGGAGACAACATTGTCCACCCTATAAGGCGGCGAGACGGTAACTTCGTTTAATATTTGTATGTTTGCTCCCTGCCAGGAAACTTCATTGTACTGCCATCAAAAATAGAATGAAACAAACACAATAGGATCATGTTAGGCTATTTTGTTAAACAATGTATATTGCAATGCGGCTTACCCCAAGCTGTTTGGCTATCGCTCGATAGAGCTCTTGTGCTTCTGGACTCACGTCGGCATTTTTGGACTTGAGATAGTCTTGCCGTCTCTCTACTGTTTTACGTAGGCGCATTTTAACCTAAAGCATATAGTTTGGTGAAGTTTTTCAATGAAATGCACACAGGAATTCGTTGCGGCTATGCTTACCTGTTCCAAGTTGAGCTTTTGAGGATCATCAATGAAGTTTCCATTGCATTCCTTGGTCACCTGCACGTTACTGCACAGCGATAGGTTCATCACATAAACATCACTCAGTTCTCCCGATGTTTTCGAGTGACATTCTGTTCGAGCAGGGAAAGGAAATGAAAAAGAAAACAGAGACGCAGGCAAAGAATTCCGCAGGCAATGTAAGGTAACCAACTAAGAATGCTCAGAGATAAACACTCCAAATATATTATATAAACCATGTGACAACAATAATAATAATAATCATAAAAAAATAATATAAAAAAAAAACGAAAAACTTTCCCTTTGACAGCGCCAAGTGACAGTTGTTATCGTTGTTGTCACAATTGTTAATTATTGTTTTGAAAAAGGATACTCAATATAAGCATTTTTGTGTTGTGATCGAACGCGAGCACCTCTCCCTCCACCTCCTCCTTAAAACAGGTCGTACAGAGCACTGTGGATCCGATACTGAAGCAGTCGTTCACTGCATTAACAACGTCGGCGGTGGCAGCGGCCATTTTTAATTGTTGCTGTCGCTGCAACTCTTAAACAACTCCCGATTTGATATTGACAACAGACAGATATATATCTATATTTGTATTTATATATATATATATATATAGCTGAATATATATATTATGTATATTTGCGTGCAATATGGACCGGAGTGTTGCAGATTATAAGCAAGTTGAAAATGCTTCTGTTGATGCTGCGCTAGTAGATGAGTCTTGTTGTGCCTGCTGCTGCTGTTGCTGCTGCTGCTTGCAATTGTTTACACAATAGGCGAGCGTATTTTGTATATAGTTATCATGGAGATTGCGCCTAATTCTTGTTGTTTATAACAAACATATGTTTTGCTCTGCTGGCTTCGCTTTGTTGTAACGTATCGTTGTGATTGTGTTGCACTTCCTTGCCGCGGATTCGGTTCGCTTTCACATTTACATTCACGTTTCGGTGTCGGCCGGAGTTGCCTTTGCCTGTTTTTTTTATCGGTCGTGCTTCTTCGCCTACGTGTTTTACGCCAGTTGCAAGCAATGTTATTGCGTGTTTTGCTCAATATATTTGCTCTGACAGCAGCGCAAGCGAATTTTGCGTTTTAAATACGTATTTCGTGGTTTTGTAATTGAGAAGTGACAAAAAAAATATGCTGCGTACGAAAAAATTTATTGGTCAACACACGAAACAACAGCCAAAAAGGAGGCAGAATAGAAATCGCAGTGTTGCATACGCCAGCAAGGTTGCAAATCCCTCCAAAGAATGTGCATATCGATAGCATGCCAAGCGCGCAAACACTACTCGATAACAACCTGCTGTTTGTAGTCGATAGTTTCGGTTGCAGCAAACAAAACACCGGGGCCCTTGCGTTTACCGCCAAAAACGAAGCTGTTAAAAAAGCCGGCAATTTATTTATAGCCAATATGGTTGATTCAAGTAAAACGCATGAACAGCGCAAGCCTAGCGCCGACACATTCCTGCCCCTCAGCCGGGTGCGCACCATCATGAAGAGCTCCATGGACACGGGCCTAATAACCAACGAAGTGCTCTTCCTAATGACCAAGTGCACCGAGCTATTTGTGCAGCACTTGGCCCGCGAGGCGTACACGGCGTCCAGTGCCATACAGAAAAGCGATACGCTCAAATACGAGCATTTGTCGCAACTGGTGAACAAGAGCAAAAATCTGGAGTTTCTGTTACAAATTGTGCCCGAAAAGATACGCGTGCACGAATTTCAGGAAATGCTGCGCCTCAATCGCTCCAACGCCAACGCCAGCGACGATGACGATGATGAGACTGGCACCGAATCGGAGTCGGAAGATGAATAACCAAATGGCACACTTAAGCGGAGCACACGTCGATAAACAAACCGGCAGCATTAACACTGCAATTGGCAGTTGCTACGAGTTATTAGATTGCAGCTAGTTTAATAATTGTGAAATTTGTATGACTGACAGCTATTTTGTTTAGTTGCTAAGGTAAACGATTTGTTAAATAATACGTATAGCTTAAGCGAAAACTCAGATTATTATGGCAACAATAGACAATCCATATTTATATACTCAAAAATACTATTTAATTATTTGCTCTTCGGCCAGCCGAAGATAACATAGATAACATACATATGTAACAAATGTCACATATCTGGCATGACTTGCCAGTTTTGTTTTTGCTTGGGTGCACATCAACTTTAATATAACCTCCAGACCCTTGGGTGCACACCAAGCTAAAAGGTTTGTATCTTTTCTGACCGCCAATTGGGCAAGGTCATAAAACAGTCGGGCTTGAGCGCTTGAGTGAAGGGCTGATAAATCGTCAGCGTTGGCCCTCGGCAATGTGAAGTTTCGGATCCCATTCAGTTGAGTTAAAAAAAACACTTGATGCTTTGTTTGTCAATATTACAGAATACACACACACACACACACACACATATGTGTGTACATGTGTATGTTCATCTTTATATACAATGTGCACCGTGTGTCATTTGATATTTAGTTAGATCGATAATAATTGTGTGGGTAAAAAACAAGAGAAAAACATGAAGTGCCATAATTATTATAAGTATGTGATTGTGCGTGTGCTTAGATCTTTAGGCTGACGCCGGGATAGCCCTTGGCATTGAGACCCGTCACCTTGTAGGTGGTGCCAGCTGGCGCGGGCTGGTTGAATTTGGCTGCGGTGGTCACGTATAGAATGTCCAGATTGGGTCCACCGAAGGCAACCGAAGTGATCTGCTTGGTGGGCAGCTTAATCTCCAGCAGGACTTTGCCGGTGCTGCAGGGGCAAAGCAAATGGGATTAATAGCATACCAGGCACGAAGCTGGCTTAACATACCTTGGATTGACCTTGTAGATGGTGGCGCCATTGAATGTGGCCACATAGATGTTGCCCTCGGTATCAATGGTCATGCCATCGGGCAGGATATGATCCTTGGGACTGGTCTTGCGCAAATTGTAGATTACCTTGGGATTGCTGGCGACGCCAGTATCGAAGTTATAGTCATAGGACTTGACCTCATAATCGGTGGTATCGATATAGTAGAACTTCTTGGCCTTCTCATCCCAGGCAAGACCATTGGAAATGCCGACATCGCTCTTCACCACCGACACACTGCCGCCGGCCTCCCACTTGTACAGCTCGCCGTGACGATGCTCGAACTCATCGCCAATGTAGCGCATGGTGCCGGCAAAGAGGCGACCCCGTGGATCGGTTTTGGCATCATTTAAGCGATTCGCCTTGAATTCGGACTGCACCTCGAACAGAGTGCGCACCACCTTCGCCGACGGCGACACACCGTCCCAGTTGACGATCACGACGCGACGTCCACAGCCGACAGCAAACTCCTGGGCATTGCCCTCAACGGGCAGCACAAAGCCGGCCAGTGTCTCGCCCTCGATCTGCGTCCTGTACGTCTTGTTCTGCTTGTAGTCGTAGCGCAGGAGGCTGCCTGCTTCTAAATCCACAAAGTACAGGCTCTGTCTGGCCTCATCCCAGTGCGGACCCTCGCCCAGACCGGCATACGAATCGGGTAGTGGCTCCACTTTGTAAGACATCTGAAAATATTGCGCATACAAACACAAGCATATTGCACAAATTGAGAGAACATTCAAATTACCGTTGGAACCGAGAATCCAACTAAAATAATGAATGTGACTAATTGGGCTAATTTTGGCTGCATCTCTTGTATTTTGCTGCTGCTGCTGCTGCTGCTGCTTATGCTGGAAGATGTAACTGGACACTGAAGCGGCCGCCGGCGGCGCCCAGTGTTTTTATGGGCCAATATACAAAGAGAAACAACAAATGCGAGCGTAAAGTCAAGCTTGTTTTTTTTTTTTTTTACATTTTAAAATCGCGTCGCCGTTGCCAGCTGCTGTGACGTCATGCCCTTCACTTGCTCAGGCCGAGATTTTAGACTTGGCCAGCTGCGTTTGTTATTGTTATTGTTGTTGTTTATGCTTCTTTTTTTTTCCACGTAATTGGCATGCATTGTGTTGTTGTTGCTGCTGTTACTGAACTTGTCAACCCAAAAGCGCGACCTGCTTACGGTAAACGCAGCCAAGCCTTAACATGTGCATATGCGCGTTTGTGTGTCTGTGTGTGTGTGTGTGGGTGTGAACAGTTTCAAACACAACTAAGAAACGGATCAAAGATGGCGGCTGCAGGATAATATAGCACAGACACAAACCGACAGACACAGTGGTTCGAGACTTGCGATTTCTAATTATGAGTAAATTAATTGCTTGCGGTTGGCATTTTAGAAATTTTTTAATTGTCCATTGAATAATAGCAAATCGAATGATTAATAAGCAACAAGCAGTTGAAGGGTATTTCGCGGTAAAGCTAATCGAATGAGCTGTTAATATTTGTATCGAATTACATTGATGAAAATGGCCTGAAAAGGGGGCGCTTTCATTACGAGTTGAAAACACAGTTAGAAAACTCTTTCTGTAAAGTGCCTATTTGCAAATAGTTAACCGATCCTTATCAAATTCAGGTAAAAAAAAAAAAAAAGAAATATTTTTTAAAGCCCAATTAATCAAATTTGATGTAGTTATCTTAAATTAGTTATCAACTGATCGATTTTGGTTATCTCCATGCATGACAGCACATTTTTGGCGACTTTGGTTAAGATCGCAAAAAATAAAAAATTTTCAAAAATTTCTTGAGCAAAAGTCCTTTAGAAAAATTAGAAGCTGTGCAAATTCAAATGATCTCAGCTTCGAATCTTGTAAGATATATTGTATAATACTCAAGAATATACAATAAAAAAAAAAATATAAAAAAAAAAATACAGCTTGCTCCATTTTGAAATATGGCAGGACCCGAATGCTAGAAAACTTGTTCACTTGTCGTACATACCTTTGGTATATATAGAGCAAACAATATGCGCGAACTGAAGTTTAAGCAGCCGGCTAGGAATCTTTTTATAGCCGAATCTGGCAACAGCAGCCGGTGTATGCGTGACATACAAGCACATAAACACGCATACACACACACATACGCATACACATACACATACGCATACTTATACATGGCAAGCAAAGAGCTTGTGTTCTGGAGTGATAAGCGTCGAGTGTGAAGCCAAAGCCAGATAAGACATACATACACACCACACAGAGACACGCCTGGAAGCATGTATGTATGTAAGTGTGTGTGTATACATATATATGTATATAAATAAAAAACCAAATAATGCTGAAGATCGCTATATGCGCTCGATTCCCGGGCTCGGCAATACAATCACAATCAATATTTGTTTGTGCATTGTAAGTGCCACAGTTATCCACTATTGGATGAATTACGACAAATGGGCTCGTTAGGCACGAGGTGGGCGCGGTGCTGGGCCAACCCATAGCTGTATTCACTGTATTTGCAAAATGCAATTGCCGCTAAGAAGCGTTTTAAACAACAGAAGCAACAGCAGCTTTCAATCTGTGTGGGCTTCTCATTTTTTATTTTATTTTATTTTATTTTTATTTTTGCTGTGGGCGGCTGTGATAAGCCCAAATGCGCTTATTTGAATTAATGTAATTTAGTTTGGCGTACATATAGACGAGCTTATAGGAGTTATCTGCCCTTTCCGGTCCACAATGTTGCGATAAATTGCAAAAAAAATAAAAACCTCCCTCGTGCCACACAAATCGATTGCGGCCCACTGTGCCCGCCGCCCCAATCAAAGGATGCTGAATCCGTCGATCGGTCAGGCGAGCGGGCATTATTTATGCGAACGCTCTTTGCACTTGCCAGCCAGCTGATAGCAGTGGGGGGCGGCTGAGCTGAAGAGACATAGAATAGACCTTATCTCCAATAGCCACTAAATGACTTGTCAAATCGTTTATACCTAATTTAAATGGTTCTTTAATTAATTTCCAACATGATTTATGGGCATATTATGATGTTTCTCTGACTTGGCTTGACAATCAAAAGGCTCACATTATGTTTGTCATCTTTCTATTTGTATATAGACGAATACATATGCATATACTATATTAAATTCTAAAGTTATTAATAAACTGTCTAATCTTATGGGAATATTTTTAATGACTGTGTTTGATCAAAATCTACCTATTTATTAAAGAGAACTCGAAATATTCCTTAAACAAATCTCTTAAGAGATAAACAGTTTGGATGGTTCCACTTTTACAGTTTGTTAATAGAGTATAAGTTCATTCGATCAAGCTTAGAACATCAAGGTATAAAAAACAGTAAATTTATATGATATTCCCTGCATTATACGGCAATTCATATGGTTTAGGGAGATCGTGAATAAATGAGCCTGGCAGTGTATTTATTTTTGATAAGCATTTATTAATTTTCATTAAAGTGGGATTATTACGATAAAAGGCTTATTATTATCACATTATCACATATTTAATATAAACATAGCCACAAATACGATTTGCTATCAATAGTTGCATATCCGTAATTATCCGTGAAAGTGCAATTGGTGAAACTTAAACAAATTGCAATAGATAGGGAAAGATGTCATTAAATCAATATTGCGTTTTGGATAGTTGCATCAATGTTAAAAATCTGCTTACAAAGATAACATAGTATTCTTTAGTTGGTTATAGCGGACCGCAACGTTATTTTTGCAGAGTGCTCTGACTAATTAAAATCAACACAGTTTTTCTTGTTATGTGCTTGAAAGAAATGAGTTTATTTTACCTGTTCTCATCTGTTTAAATCAATAAAAACAAAAAACAAATTGAACGCAATTAAGAAAATGAGAATATGTCAATAAATCAAGCAAAACAAAAAAAAAAGCGATAAATCTGAAACAGCTGTTTATATTCGATAATTGACAATATCATTCCTGCTTTGGAGTAATGTACTTGGTATCGAATTAATGAGTGAGAATCGGTGCCAAAACTAAACGTTAATATTCCAATTTTTATTATGTGAAATTATAGTTTCGCAAAAAAGAAGTCTTTTGCCGAAAGCAAAATAAAAGCAAAGCAGTCGATTTGTATTATCGAACTTTTCTATCGATGTTAGTTAACAGGCACTGTTGTCCATTAACATGGAGTTAACACTAGTCATCGATAGTAATGTTAGTGTCATCGATTGCTCTGGACAATTATCATTTGTTGTTGTTTCGTCGCAGAGTTCGGACGTGTAGTTTTCCGAGGTGCACATTGGAAGTCGTTCGGCTCGTTGCGTTAATTTCATTTTTTTTTCTGTGTAATTTTGTTTTGCATACTAAACGCAAACAGACACACGACCACGACGGAGTCGTTTTGACTAACCGATACCGATACCCAATGTCCGTGCCCAGGCATCAGCAGATGTGAAATGTGACGGCACGACGAAAAAGTGTCCGCAATCGCGCAGCCGAGGCGACAAAAACCATTTTGCAAAAGAAGAAAAAAAGAAAAAAGAAATAGAAAAAAGTGAGAGGAATCGGCAGCGACGCTCACGCGTTGCGCCCCCATTCAAAATAAAAGTGAAAACGTGCAAAATACACAATCCAAAAAAGAAAGAACAGCAGCTATAGAGTATTCATTTTAATCCAAAAATGTGCGACGCTGTCGCAACTACAATCACAACCACAACAACAGCAGCAGCAGGACCAGGAACAGGAGCAGGCACGGGAACGGTTAGTGCTGCTGCCGATACAGCGACAGCAATGGAGGAGCGTACGCGACAAAGCTGCTGTCGCCTATGCATAGCGCCCGCCAGCGAATGCATTTCGATCATTAACAGTTATGCGGCCGATAAGGAGCCACTGGCCACTAAAATACACAACTGCGTAAATATCAAGGTGAGTAAACCAAATGTCCGCAGACGGTGAATAGAGTTGCCAGCGGCATACGTAATACACTCAGCCACATCCACATCCACATTGACAACGACAACGACAACGACATCAATTCGATTTCGACCTGCTGCTGCCGCCGCCGTCGCCGCCTGGCTCCTCAAACCGAAACCGTTATACACACTGCTAGCTCCCATTCCCCTGTGCGGGTCGGAGCCGGGACAGATGGCTGGCAGCAGCCACACCCGACATTGCTGCTGCTGCTGCTGATGATGATGATGATGATGGGTCATCCACTCCTGCTCTTGCTGAGCGGGGCGCTTCCTGTCTGTGCGTGTAATCGATAACACCTCTAACGTCGACAACTCTATCTAGCTTTGCTTGGCTGACCAAAATATATATATATATATATATAAGAAAGTGAGGTTAAATACGAAACCAAAAGTAAAATATGCCTCATCAGAAGCGAGCTGCTGCTGGCCCCATTTGATTGTGCAAGCGCTGGCGATGACGACGACGACGAGACCGATACCGATACCGAGACCGAGCCAAACGTTGTTTCGCTCGTTGCCAGCTGCAGCATTCTCTTCTACCCAATACAATCCCCGACCCACCGCTCCGCCTTTTCCCTGACCCTGCCTCAGTGGCACTTGCCCGTGAGCAACATCATCATCATTGGAAATGGAAACGGAATCGAGCATTCGTTTGTGCTTGCTTGTCCATGCCGTGTGCTCCGGCTCGGTGCCGTCTGCCTCTGGCTTTGCTTGAAGTGCCAAGTCACGATGCCCGACGACGACGACGCGACGGCCATCGCCGTTTATTGGTATTGGTGTAACGTTGTCGTTGTGGTTGTCGCTGGCGATGCCTGTGGCTCGCTGGCTGCTGCTGCCGTCGCTGCTGCTGCTGCTGCTTGCTTGCTTGGCTGGTTTGTCGCTCGCTGCTCGATTGCCGACGTTAACGTCGTTGTCGTCATCGTCATCATCGGCATTTCGTGTGCTACGTTGGCATGAAAGTGAGCAGAAACCATGGGCAGCTGGCGTGCCTGGGATTCGATTGCCATTCCTATTCCCGTGCAGGCAGCGGGATTGAGGTTAGAATTGGCCGGCAAGAAACGGCAAGAGGCTACAATTAATAATAACAACAAACTATGCTCATTGTTTATTATTTACACATTTTTGTTGCTGCTGTTGCTGCTGCTGCTGCTGCTTCTTCTTCTTTCCATGCCACCGTTTGCCGCTATTCACAGAAACTAGAGATGAGTCAAGTGCGTGCGTGCAAACGTGAAGCGAAAAGCTAACTTATCGAAAGTTAAATTAGTACGCTGTTTACTTGAGATGCATGTGCATTCGATTGTTTTGATAATTGCAATAAATGCAATAGTAAATAATTATAGTCAAAGTATAGTATAATGTTATAATTTTCACAAAGCCGATATTTCGTGCTATAACAACAATCTCTTCTTGTGCACATCACTAAGCACGACACGAAAAACACCACAAAACGTAGAGAGCAATGAGCGGCAGCGGCGCCCGAACGGCCATTCAACGGCAACGGCAACAAAATTTTCGAGGCCGTCACCATCGACGAGATTGAGAGCGTGCCAGAGAGGGCAGGCGGAGACGTTCGTGCGTTTGGCTGTGTGTGCGTGTGTGTGTGTGTGGAGCTTGGGTCGCGCTTGGTTCGTTTCATATCGGTTGTGGCTGCCGCTGCGACTATGTCTGCTGCTGCTGCTGCTGTGCCTGCCCAGCGTCAGAGCAATTACGTATAATTTTTGTGCTCGCCTCGCTTCCATGGAATTCGCCGCCATTGTACATGAACGCTGGCGATTCTGGCGGCTTCGCTTGGCAGAGCTGCTGCTGGCTGCTGACCAGTTCCAGTCACCAGTCGCTGTCGCAGTTGCAGTCGCAATACCAAGCCCATGCCCAGAGTCAACTCCAAGTCTCGATTAATATCAGCATCTGACCAAGCCCAGCGTCCAGTCTATTTCCGTTTGCTCTCAGCTTGCCCGCCCCCTTGCCATGTTGATGCCTCTCTATCTCTCTCCCTATGGGCTCTCTCATGCTTGCGCGCGCGCTCTGGTCGTGTCCTTCACTGGCTTCCATTTGTGACTCCTCGCTGGGGCCCATGATATCCGGTGCAGGCACCTCTGGGGCAAAGCGGCAGCCGCACAAAAGCGAATACGCAAAACGAAACGACAAAAGAAAAAAAAGTAAAAACCGAAATAAATAAAAATGAAGAGGAGTAAAGTAAAAAGAAGTACAGCAAATGAAACTGCCTTCTGGATTTGTGTGCTTCGCTAGCTACGCTTATTTGCCTGGTGCTCTCGGCTCGGTTATTGATTCTTTCATTTGGCAGGCACAGCTGAGCCAGCAGGCAGCCAGGCAGCCAGACGACGGCCAACCAAGCTAGGCAGGCAGTTAGTCAGGCAGGCAGGCAGGCAGGCAAACCCAGAGTCGCCCTCGTCATCCACTTTTCGTTCAACACAAAATGGTTGCCTGCTGCTCGAGTTCGAAACTCAGCACAGCTCGGCGCGACGCGACGCAACGACTCTCTGGACTGCGCCCCCGGCAACGACATCATCATCTACGTCGGCGTCGTCGTCGTCGTCGTCGGCACGTTGCTGCTGCGTGTGCTTGGTGCTTGGTGCTTGGCGCTGGCACTGGGTTGCTCTTTGGTTTCGCTTTGGCTCGATTTCATGGTGAATACACCAGCAACCAGCAACCAGCAGCAGCAGCAGCTCAACCAATACACACACACACACACACACACACACACACACACACACACGTGTGTGTATGTACGAGCATTTCCACACAAGCGACCATTTGGTTGGCGTCATCGCTGTGCGGTTCGCTTGTTATCTGGAGGCGGACCACATGCACACACACACACCAACACCAACACACACATACGCACAAAGCACAGAGTAGAACATCAGCCGAGGGCAGGGCAGAACAAACGTCGTATATACGAGTGGTTGTGTATGTTTTTTGTTGTTGCTCGCTCTGTTCAAGCAGATTAACCTGGGCATGGAAGTTGCAGTTGTTGCCAGTTGCCAGTTGCCTGCGTTCCGCATCGAATTTCGGATACACATCATCATCATCATCGTCAGTGCCCAAGTTAAGTTCAGGTGAAAAAGCCAAACTTTCTCTGATCAGAAGCGCTTTTTTGTGGGCTGTGGAGTGTGGGAGGGGGGAGAGATAGAGATGACACTGATTAAGTAAACCTCATTTTACCCCCTTTGGCTTTGCATTTATCCGTTACAAAAACCGTATTGTCAATGTTTTGCATAGAATCGATAACTAAATAATTTATCGATGCTAGATGTTGGTAAGAAATGCACTTGCCTGACGTTTGCAGTCGCGTCGTTGTCTGCGTAATTCAATACGACAACAACAAACGGTAAAGATCAACAGCACACGGCTTGCTAATGCTTAGGGTTAGTTTTGTTGGAGAGAGGACACACATACACACAGCTGACGACGAATAAGGACACAAAGGCAAATACGGCAATGAAGAAAAATAAAAACGATAACAAGCAAGCAGAACCGAAAACTTGTTCAGCTTCGAGATCATGCGGCGTTGCGGCAACGCCAGGACAGGCTGTTCCCGAGCGACGCCTTAATTCTGGCCAGCATCTTCTCTGCTTCGTGCCCTCATGGCGGCGCAGCGGCGCTGATGATGATTGTTGCACCTGGTGGCCAACAAAATGCAGCAGCTGGCAACTGTGCCAACTGTGGCAGCTGCTTCTGCATCTTGTTTGTATTGATGGATGAAAGATTTCCTTTTCAACTTCAACTTTCTAAAACGCCTGCCTGATGGCCCAAACAATTTGTGCCCTTTTCCCCTGTTATGAATGCTGTCTGTTCACGCAAAATGAAAATGCTTGCAAATTTATCAAAACAAAATTCCTTCTGTTTGATTATTCGCTTTGCTTCAAGTTTGCAATATTATATAAGCTCTCCAAAATAGTATGCTTGTGTACAAATTTAGGTTTTTATTTTTATTTTTACAACAACTGAGAATTTCTGCATAGCAGAATGCCTTATTTCGCAATTGCCCAAACATCTGTTCGATGCTGCGATTTAATACTAAAAAGAAATACATTAAATACTAGATGAGTTATGTAATTGACAATAACGAAACTTGGTGGCAACTTTCTTTTGTCAGTGGTCAGCAGAGACAAAAACAACATAATTTGTTTGTATTTAATTGCAATGCACATTTACTTACCCCAAACAGCAACAGCAAGAATACTAATAATGCCTATTAAAGTCAACCAACCCTCACCCTCTCTTTGCTGGCCCCTTAAGCCAAAGGCTTTTGATGGTGTTCCTCCTTCGATGCTGCTTGAGAAAGAGATGTGCCCAACACGATGTTGTTGTGCGGGTGCGGGTGCGGGTGCGGGTGCCTTGACTGGCTGAGTATGGGGTATAAGGTGAATGAACAACATATTATCGAAACCCTTCAAAGCCAAAGTGAGGCGGGGAGATAGGCAGGACGGGCATTGCAGGACTCAAGTGTGTACATAATACATTTATATAAGCGTACATACATGCATGTACATAGATGCATATGTATGTACATGCATGTACACTCAATCCCACCCACACACGAAAATGCCAGGTTGGGGGTTTAAGATGCGCATCATACATATGTAGGAGTACCGTTTGTTTTTGCGAATAACAAAAACACAAATGAAGCTGCAAAAATAAGCAGTTACTCTTGCGTAGATAAATTTGTGTGTATATAATGTGTATATGCACACATGCACATATGTGCATAATACGCACACACACACACACATTACACATATATCGCAAATGCTTTTGAATATTGCAAGCTGTCAAGTGCATATGCCGGCTCAAGAACAGCAACAACCTACGATTATTTGCGCTTCTGTTTTGGTTTTTGCGTTCGTGCTTTATTTATTCAAATTTGACAATAACACTGGCTGCCATATTGGACACTTGATATCGATACTACTTTTGACGAACGTTTGTGGATGGTGTAACTTACGATATTTTTGCAATGATTAAATGTTATAAAAACTTACAATTATATACATATGTATGTATTATTAATTCAGTTATTAACATACCATGATATGAGAATGGTTCAGAGTCTTGAATGCAATAATGATGAACATTTTTATTGTTTATTGTTTTAAACACATTTGATTATGGACTATCGAACTCATTAAATATAAGAATGTTATTTGGGAAATTCTTGTTGAATTGTTTGCAAATTACGGTTAAGTCTGCTTTCACATAGCCCAAGCGGTTTGTGTTTATCTATGATCGATGAAATACCTATAGGTTTTTGTATTGGGCTGTAAAACCACACAAGGGCTTAAATACATATGCATATGTATGCGTATGTGCACTTATTTACATATGTATTATGTCGCTACACACTTTTAATTGAAAAGCCCAAATGGTCCCATGCCACATACAATTAAAAGCAAATTATGCACGAACACAAAGCCGCAGATATAGCCAAAAGAGCAACAACAATTCTATGTTCATATACCTAATACGCATCCGTCAACTTGCACATAGGCAAAAGCATAATCAAGTACATGCACACAGCGCTATTTACATGGGCTATACATACGTGTATGTATGTATGTGTGTAGATACCTATACATGGGCACACGAAACGCTGTCAGGCGAAAGGACATGGGACAAGTACATACATATATGAATTGGAATGTTGTGTGTGAGTGTAAGTGTTGTTTGCTGCAATACTCTGTTTTGCATATAATTATAAGCAGGTCATTGACATTAATAGACTAGTTAACGGAATAGGTTTGCTGCTGTCTCAACAAACGCCTGGAATGCCTTTGCTATAATCGAAGAAACCCCATGCTGCCGCTGGGCGGACAGGAAAAAGGTGTGAGCGATGACTCCTGGCTGCATCCCCAATAATGCATCGTCAAGTACATAAAGAACAACAGACTCAACTATGTGTTTTTATGCTGGCTTAAAGCTCACGGTCGTTGCACGAAATTACTTTTACCAACAGCACACATACATACATAATTCAGATAGAACACGCGACTAAACATAATTTACGACAAATACATGTATATGCACATAATTAACCTTATCAAAACTTTCATGTGGTCACACTGGCATCGGTTAAATAATTAGGCTCCTAACATCTGACACTAAAAATGACAGCGAAAGCCGTAGCTAAAAGGAATGCATTTATTTTTATATTCATTAGCTGCAGTCGCACAATTGCGAAATTATTAATTTGACAAAATGAAATTGACCTTTATTGAGACAAGGATAAGAAATTCTTAATTAATTGATATCATTTAAATTTGGATGCAGGTCTAAACTGTCAAGCTCAGTTTTTGAAAAACCTTGACTGCGGCATTCAGTTAACCCATGTGAAAATATATGAAATTGACGTTAATGCATATTTAAATTAATATACTGAATCTACATGTGGACACACTGACTGTGAATCAATTAAATGATAGGTTTCCATTGATTGATCGATAAACGATTAGTTTTAGTTAAATTGCATCAATAACTGAAGGTGTGTGTACACTGAAAGTATGGAAGGTGTCCGTTCAAAAGAAATCACATTCAGCTATTCTCTTCTTGTATAATTATAAATGAATGTATTATATTAAATTGTAATAAAAGAATGACAAATGTACGCTCAGTCCGTTTAATATACATCTCTTGAACATGTTAGTGATATAGACAATGCAATTTATATTATATATATATATATATATATTAATGTATACATGTGTGTCTTTCAGATCACGCCGTTGGATCGTCTATCGCTGCATATTTGCCATGCCTGCATCAGCTATTTGAACTCTTGGCAGAGCTTTAAGAATCGCTGCCTCAGCTCACAGTCCAAGCAGCGGCAATGGCTGGACACCGATAAAAGCAAGCAGCAGACACTTTTAGGATATTTGGATTTGAACAAAACGGAGAATGGCAGCTCAATTGAACAGCAGCACGAGACGAACATCGATTCGGCGACAGTTGCAGCTGAAAAGGCGTCCGCCAACATATTGGATGGCATACCCTCGCTGAAGAAACGCAAATCGTTAACAGTCTATGTGAGTCCAAAGCAACAGCTACAACAACAACAACAACAACAACAGCATCAGCAGCAACAACAACAACAACAGCAGCAGCAGCAGCAGCAACAACAACAGAATGTTGCAAGAACAACGAGCGCGGCGGCGGAGTCACAGCAAACACTGCAGACCCTTTTATTGCAGGTGCCCTCAACAACATTGTCAACGGCGTCAACTCAGCAGCAACAGCATCAGCAGCAGCATCAGCATCAGCAACAACAGCGCAAACATCAACAGCAGCAGCAACGTGGCAGGCAGCAACATTACCATCAGCAACAACAACAGCAGCAACAACAACTTCAGCAACATCAGCAGCAGCAGCGACTAAGCCGAATACGTCAACCACGACGCCAGCAACAGGCGGCAACGTCTGCTCAGCGTTTGACCAAGTTTAAGCCTAAATTGTATTTACCATTGGATATATCGGTGCCACCACTTCCACCGTTGTTGCCGCCACCGTTGCCGCCCATGTTGTCAACTATTGCTGCTGGTGCTGATTTGGCGCCGTTGCCAATGCCGTTGTCGCTGCCACTTGATTTCAGTCAGAGTCAGTGTCAGAATCCGAACGCGAATCAGAGTCACAAACATAGCAGTGCATTGCAGCCACCGCCACCACCGCCGCCGCCGCCGCCGCCTCCGCCACCGCTGCCGCTGGCTCCAGTTGCAGCAGTGACCAGCAACGCCTCTGGCTCTGCCACTGCCACTGCCACTGCCACTGCCTCTGCCGCAGTCACGACTCCATTGCTAATGCCGGTTACGCTGCAGAGCGCTGCCCAGCAGCTGCGCTTTTTCAGGCGCTATTCCTATAATGTAATTGTATCGTGCATTCGCAAGCGTCCACAAGTCACATACACCACCATGCCACCCAACCAACCCCTACTCACCAGATGCATTAGCCGGTGCATATTTTCTGTTGTTCAAATTGAATTTAATATTAAAAAAAGAAAAAAAAAAAAAAATGCCCCAATATTGCATGTTGAACTTATCGACTGTTTCGTTTACAGCCGCTGCCTGCCGTGCCTATCAAGGATGAGCCCATTGACGACACGGATGATGACTTCCAAATGAAGTGCATAGACGAATCCGATGATATGATGGATCCAACAATGTTCCTAGAGCGCTCCGAGCATGAGGGTGATGTGCCACTAATGGTAAGCAACAAAGCACCATCCGACTACGATGCACAAATTTTAATTGGAGAAGAAATTAACCATAAGGCTGTCAAGCTTCTTCCAAACAATCAAAAATTCCCTAATTAAGGGGCATCCGCTAACGTAGTAAAATACTAAAATACTACTAAAAAATACTTTTTAAGTATTGACAATTAAGTAACAACTTGTTACTAACAAGAATGAAATGTGCAGTAAAAGCAAGAAGTCGCATTCGATGAGTATCTAATTAATATAAGCTTTTATCAAGCCTAAGAAGCGTCAAGCCTTTAGATAAGAACTAAGGTATCCTTTAACTTGGGTGCCAGCTAAATGGGAATTATGCAAATAAAACAAATCAAATATGTCAAGAATGCTTCAAGATAAAGGTCTGCTAACCTTGTTCCGAATATTCTGAAACGCGCTTAAGGCATTGTTCTAGTACTTGAATGTGAGTACTATTTTATTATTTAAAATTCAGTAACTTCAATTTCTATTTTGAAGCGAAAAGAAGAATTGGTAAACGATGAATATCTATTAAAATCAAAAATTAAGACAGGATTACCAAGATTTCTCAAAACTTAATGAGTCCCGCTTATTGGGCTGCTAACTGGTTTTTGTAAATGGGTTCTTTTTGAACTTTAACCTTCGACTGTGAAGAGCAGAAATAAATAGAAAAGCATGTAAGAATGTAGAAATGTAAATCGAATCGAGAAGACAAGTGCTTCAATTGGTTGTTACCTGAAAAGTGGACCTATAAATAACTAAATATATATGTATGTCAGTTGGATAATCTGCATTTTCCCCATCTCTCTTTGCATAACAGACCTCCGACTATGATTACACGGCGCAGCATGGCGTGACGGCGGTTGCGGCGGCGGCATCGCTGCCCGCCAGCGCGGTTGCAAATGTGGCAGCCGCTGGCGACTCCAAGGTGGCCAGCTGTCGTGCCTGCAGTCTGCAGTTCTCGACGCGCGCGAATGCGCGACGCCACGAGCGCAATCTCCATCCAAATCTGTTCCAATTGTCGACAGACTCGCCAAATAATACGCCCATCACAAAACCGACGCCGGCATTGGCAGCCGCGCTGGAGATACAGCGTGCAGCTGCCGCGGCAGCGGCCACCGCGGAGGCAACAAAAGCTGCCGCTGGTGGCAACATATCAGCGCAAAAGTATCGCCAGGTGGTCATGAACACGTTCATCAAGTGCGAGAACGGCGGCTTCGACTACGACAATCCGGAACAGTATCAGCAGCTGCTGACCCGCGACAAGGTTGAGTTCATTCAGGAGAACAACGAGTTTCTGGAGCAGTACCAGACGATGACCTGCCGCTGCTGCAACAAATACTTTAACACATACAAGAACTTTATGGCGCACGTACGCAAAAAGTATCCGCTGCTGCCGCGCAATTTATGCTTCAACTGCCTCAAGATGAACGACTCCAAGGCACTGTTCATATCGCATCTGAAGAAACGCAATTGCATCAATTTGTATCGCGTTCTCAACGCTCTCCGCGTCAAGCAGCCAAACTTCTCGCATGCCACCGCATCCGGAGCGGCTGTCTCAACCGATATGAGTGGTGTTCAAGGTGCTGCTGCTGCAGGGGCAACAGCACACGAAACATCAATGGAACGGCCAGAGAAGCTACGCGCCAAGGAGCTGCTGGTGAACAAACTATATGAGTGCAAGCTCTGCCCAAAGGGATTTCGCACCAAGCACGAATTCCGCACCCACGTGTACGACAAGCATGCGGATGTGCAGCGCAAGGATAACAATTCGATACAGTGCAGCTTCTGTGGATTGGACTTTGCCGATCCGGTAGATCGTCGCCGTCACTACAACAACATGGACTGCATTGTGCGGCTACGATGCATGACCTGCGATGCCAAGCTAGAGACGCATCAGCGCTTCCTCGATCATGTCTATCAGGATCATTTGGGCGGCGTCAGTAGCGACAATGCGTCCACCGCGAATAGCGGCATGGATCATTCGCCAGGCAAGCGTAGCCTGCTGGGCGCTCTGGGCATTGGTGTCAGTCAGTCATCCAATGATGAGTCGCGCAGCAGCAGCCACAACAACAACAATGCCGTGGAAACGCCGCTAACCTCAACACCGAAACCAGCTGCAGCTGGATCGGGAACTGCAGCTGCGGCGACCAGTGGCGGCTCCACATCTGGCAATCGCGATGCTCCCAAATCGCAGTATTTTTCCCGCATGCCGCAGGTGTGCCCCATCTGTGGCCAACAGTACAACAACTATAACAACGTGCTGCGCCACATGGAGTCAAAGCATCCCAATAAACTGCCCGAGACGTACAAATGTGTACGCTGCGGCCTTGGCTATCCGCGAATCTCATATCTGCGCGAGCACATGATTAATGTGCATGGCGTGGACAAGAATCGGCATTCCGGAGGCTTTGAGTATATTGTGAATGCCGATGCTGTTAAATTGGCGGATGGCAGCACGCCCAATGTCTACACCGGACGCTATGATTATGTGATGAAGGATCTGATGTCAATAACAAATGGTGGGACACTCGGTAATTTTTTGTTTGGCCCCCATCAAAATCCATCGCCCAAGTGTGAAGTCCTGTGCCAGTGTCCTAGTCACCCACCCCAAACATGCTTTTCATACAGTCGATATCTAAATAATAGAATAACTATAGCTACACAAATTAGTTGAACGTATTAGAAAAGAAAGTTAAATGCATTCCGATGAGACTATATTGGTGTCTATTGTTAAGCAGATCTAGTTTCATTCATTTTTTTTACAATCGCCTTTCTATGCGATTTTCATGAACTCAAGTTAAGAGTATGTTAACATTCCGCTAGCAGTAGTTCGGTTAACCTTACGAAAATTCTGAGCAATATGAAATTGAAAGCATATTTAATCATTCTATTCAGGTATTGACTGCATTATGAAGGTCTTTAGGCAAGCGTGAATACTCAAATTCTAATATTTTATGTTCTCTACCGCCTTCGCTCGTTTTAACAGATGATGAGGAGGAAGAAAGCGGCAGCGTTGCCAAAAAGATGCGACTCGATGACAGCAGCAACAACAGCAGCATCAACATGAGCATCGCCAATCAGCAAAAGGAATGCCTCATCTGCAATGCGGTGTTCAGCAACAACATTGGGCTATCTAATCACATGCGCTCGCATTATACCGCCTCCACGACAACGAGTGCAGCGCTGGCGGCGGCCAATCGCATGACGCCAAAGTCGCTGACAATTACCGCAACGCCGCCGCTGGAAACGGCTGCCGCATCGTCCACAAGTATTGCGGTCTCGACGGCGGCGGCGGCGGCGGGGGCGGCAACAACAGCAACAACGCCCGCCACAAGCACAGCTGCAGCAGCTGCGAGTGCAACTACAACAACAAGTACAACAGCTGCCGCTGCCGCCGCCGCCGCGTCTGGCAATTTGCCGCCAGCGATGGCACATCAAACGCCACAGGAGCAGGCAGTATTCCGACGTAGCCTGGATCAGGCAGCCGATCGTCGCTTTCGGCGTATGCGCTGTCGCATCTGCCAGCGCAGATTTAGCTCGAAAAAATCGTACCGCTACCACATGCTGACCGACCATCAGGTGCAGAACGTGCAGTTCATCAAGTGCAAGCTGTGCAATGCGGAGTTCGCCTACGAGAAGGGCCTCAAGGTGCATCTCTTCAAGGTGCACGGACGGGCCATTAAGGATGAAATGATTGTGAAGCAGTTTGAGTGCGATATCTGCTCCATTGTCTACAGCTCTGAGCTGGAGCTGCATCAGCACAAGCGCAGCGTGCACAAGTCCCAGCTGGGGGCCGCCAGTGATGCAGCCAAGTCTAAATCGTCAGCTGCTTCCTCAACTGCTGCTGACCTTGCTGACACGTCCGGCACGGCTGTGCCAGCCCTGCCTCTCTATTGGTACCAGTGCAAGTACTGTCCATCCAATTTTAACACTAACAAAAAACTGGCCATACACATCAACTCGCACGACGAGTTCGACTCGAATGATTACTCGTGCAAGGACTGCGGCAATGTCTACAGTGGCCGTAAAAGCCTTTGGGTGAGTCTCTCTATCTATAAATATATATATATATATAGATACACATTATATAAGTATTTATTTTACAGGTGCATCGCTATAAGAAGCATCCGCAGGTGCCAGATCCCGCTGAATGTACGCTGTGCCGCAAGATGTTCTTTGACCGCCAGATGCTGGAGAATCACACGCCCACCTGCAATCGAAAGCCCATCACTGCCACCGGCGCCCATCAGCAGGATTCGCAGCAGCAGCAACAACAACAACAGCAGCAGCAGCAGCTGCAACTGCAGCAGCAGCGCGGCATATTCAAGCACAAAACGGGCGACGATGACGAGGAGGAGGATGACGATCAGCTGATGGTGCTGGACGATGGTGTCTGCGTCGGCAGTAGCAGCAACGGTGGCAATGCTGCAACAGCATCAGCGTCAAGCAATGCCAATAGCAGCACATTGAAAATACGCATACCGGAGGTGGCGTGCACCATTTGCGGTGCCCGGTTCACCGATCAGGAGATGTTCAGCAAGCATATACAGAAACATGAACAGGATCTGTATGTGGATAATCCATTGGCGGCCATGTTCGATGATGGACCAGCGGACGCTGGCCAATTTCAGGTGGAGCGCCAGAACGAGAACGGGGAATATGCGTGCGATCTGTGCGCCAAGACGTTCCCCCAGGTGATAGCGCTCAAGGTGCATCGCAAGTGGCATTTCAGAGGTGATAGCAAGCAGGTGAGCTTTTTGGGCTTGTGCAGCGAGGTGAATCTCTATTGTGTGAATGGATCCCAAACCTTGCGGATCCATTCGTGAGCGTGCTAATTAATTGCGTTTGTTGTTTGTTGCCTCCGCACCAGTCGCAAAAAAAAACAAAACAAAACAATATAAAATAGACAAAAAACAAACAGATTTTAAACAAGTATTTAAATTGAAAGCGCCAACGCTTTGTGTGGTGCAGTTTTGATTGGTTTTCACTAATTTCTTATATTTATATAAATTATATTTAGAATCCCATCATCGACGGCGAAGCGACAACGCTGAACAACAGCAACAACAACAACAACAACAACAACAACAACAACAATTCAGTGAGCTCCTCATCGATGCTCCATCTGCGCGAACTGCATGCTGTTGGCCTGATGCCCAATCAACAGCACCAGAAACAACAGCAACAACAACAACAACTCCAGCAGCAGCAGCAACAACAACAACAACAACAACATCAGCAAAGGAAGTCGCTGAAACGGAAACGTGAACTTAAATGCGAATATTGCGCATCCACATTCATTAGCAACAACAACCTGCGTCGCCACATGTACGAGCTGCACAAGCACGAGGTCAGCAATCTGCCGGAGCCGCCAGTGATTGAAGTGGATGAGCCTTTAACTTGTCGCCGTTGCGGCGATCTACGGTTTGATACCAAAGAGCTGTGGATCGAGCATAAATTGGCCGATGCCAAAGTTGTGCGTCCATTCTGTCCATTCCAATGGGGCTGTGATCTGTGCGGCGAGTACTTGTCGCGCAAGGAGAAGCTCATCAATCACATTAACAATCATCTCAAAGAGGATGTAATTGTACCTGTGGCGGTGGCCACCAAGTCAGCGTCAACAGTTCCCAGCAAGAATTCAACAACAAAATCTGAGGCAACTTCAGCAGCGGCAGCAGCAACAGCAGCATCAGCAGCGGCAGCAACAGGAGCCACAAAGGGCATAATAAGACCGGGAGCAGTAAGATTGCTTAAAAACAAACAATTGGATGAGCTGCAGGAGCAGCTAGACATGAAGGTGGCGAAGCTGTCCAAACAGCAGCAAAATGTTCATGTGGCGCATGATGATGGGGCGGAGGCGGGACAGGAGCAGGAGCAGGGGCAACCGGCGGCGGATGATAGTGATATGGATGATGATAGCGATAGTGGCGAGGATGATGAGGATAGCACAAGCGCTGATGATGACGACGACGACGACGATGACGACGACGACGACGATGATGATGATGATGATGATGATGACGACGATGAGGGCGATGTGGACGATGACGATGACGAAGATATTGTGGAACAGCAGCTGCTGCAACAACAACAACAACAACAGCAACAACAACAACAGTCTCTCAATAGCAACAACAAGAAGAAGAACAACAACAATAACAACAACAACAACAGCGTAGTTGCAAATGACGATGACGATGATCTCATTGAGGAGGTAATCGAGGATGATGGCATTGTCGAGGAGCTAGAAGATGATGAGGACGATGACGATGACGAGGACGAGGCTGAGGCCGATGGCGTTGTTGATGATGACGACGATGGTAACACAACGGATGAGCATATGGCGCTGCCTTCCAATGCCACCAAACAGCAGCCGAGGCGCCTCAACTTTGACTACGCGCGCACAGACAGCTCCAAGCTGAACGGCAATAGCAATGGCAAACAGACGCCGCAGCATCAGCAAAAGTCAAAGGGTCAGCAGGCGGTGCTGGTCGTGCACAGCTCAGAGGATGAGGATGAGGCTGATGTCGATGGGAATGGTGATGAGGATGTGGATGATGTGGATGATGATGAGGAGGAGGAGGATGAGGGCGTGGGTGAAGCAATGACCATTGATGATATTATTGAAGAAGATGATGGGGAGGATGATGACGATGTGGTTGGTGTCGATGGTGGTGTTGTTGAGGATGATGATGATGATGTTGACGAAGATATGGACGAGGATGACGTTGAAGACGACGACGACGACGATGATGACGTCGACGACGACGACGGCGAAAATTATGATAATGGTGGTGCTGGTGCTAGTCGTCGCACTGGCGCCGCCACTGGCAATGGCAGTGGTAGCGGCAGCGGCAGTCGCATCGGCGCGTCTGATGGCGTGGCTGCTGATGCCGATGGTGGTACATCATCATCTGAGAGCGAGTCAACAACAACAACAACATCGCATTCAATTGGTGAGCGGCGTAAAAAAACAGTAGTTAAATCAGCGGCACATGGCGCTGCCGCTGATCAGTCTAATTCCAGCTATACGTGTGATCTATGTCAACTTTGTTTCGATTCTCAGGAGTTACTGCAGTCACATATTAAAAGCCATTTTCTGAATGGGCCGTCGGCGGGCAGCAGCAGCGCCAGCGGCGGCAGTAGCAACAGAAGCGCCAGCCTCGGCGGCGGCACAGGCAGCGGCAGCAGAAGCAACAATAATAATAACATCGACAGCAGCAACAGCAGCAGCGCCAGCGCCAGCGGCAGCGGCAGCGGTAACAACAAAACCAAAACCAAAAAGTCCGGCTTGGATGCAATCAAAAGTGGCAGTGCTGCAACAACGTCGACAGCAACAATAACAACAACAACAACAACAACAGCAGCAAAAGTTGCAGCTGAAGCAGCTGCAACAACAGCAGCAGCGGACGCTGCAACCAGCTTGAACTGAGCTTGAAAAAAAATGTACAAAAGCAAAAGCAAAAACAAAACCACACCGCACACATCCGCAACGCATTCCATTGCCAAATACACACACACACACTCACATCCTCACATCCTCACATTGGCGCACTCGCACACACACACACACTTGCACACGCTCACGCATATGTATAAAAAAAATAGAGAGAACTGGGTGTGTATGTGTGTGTGTGTGTGCAATACAATTTTTTTTCTTGCTGTGCTAATTGCAGTGTTGGTAAACTTCTACCGCATATTGACTGCAAAATACAGATGCACACACACAAACACACACAAGCAGACATATTAAGCTTACATATTTGATATAACATGAATACATATATCCGTACATACATACATATATATATATATAAATATATATAATATAATTTTTTTTTTACATGTTAAATTAGTTGGTATCACAGACAACAGACAGGCGCGGAAGTGTCTCCAGTTTTGAGTTTTAGTTAATTAAGCGATATATATATATATATATATATATTAATATATATATATATACGTACATACGTATATACAATGAATACAAATATTTAAGAGGTTAATGAAAAATTAGAATTGTCAAGCGAAAAATTACGACGATGACGACGCACCAAAGCAAACCACAAACTGTAGAAGGCAAAAAAACGCAAAAACTAAAAAACAAAAAATAGTTAAACAAAAGCTAAATTACGTTTTAGTTGTTAACGTACTTTAATTTTATTATATTTTATTTGTATTGCTTTTTTTTTTTGTGCTGATTTTAGTTTCTGGTTTAAAAAACCACCCTGCAGTTTTATTTTTTCTCTCTTTTTTTTTTATGATAAGTGTATATATTTTTTTAATATTTTAGTGCGTTGCTCTAATTTTGAAATTATCTCAAGGCAATTCCAAGTTTACAAATTAATTTAAAGTCCGTTCGGACAGCAAATCGTTAACTCTTTCGACTCGCATAGTTTAAGTTACAAAACATAGGCCTACACAAATGAAAGCATATTTAATTTCACACACACACGCACACGCACACACACGAAAGCCCTCGCCTACGAGCACCCATACCATGCCCACCAGAGACGCATTGGGAATATTATAATTTTTTAATATTTATTTAAAATGTATTTTCAATATAATTTTGTTTAATTTGTTTCAACAAAAACAAAAACCAGTTCAGCAGAAAATGAATAATTCATTCAGCACAGATCGGTCGGATATCCATTCAAGTCTGACAAAATTTGAAATAGAAAGTTAACTTTTGCCATACACGACGCAGCATTAGCACTTTGCCCCATTTAAACATTTAGTATGTACTGTGTATATTAATTATTTATATTTAATGATGCATTTCACAAATAATTCGTTTCATGCTTCATTAATCAAGTAAATCATATTCGTATGTATGTGTATACACATTCGTAGATAAATAAAACACAAAGAAAAAAAAGAAGGAAAAAAAATAGTGTATACTGCATATGTTAATTACGCTTACGAATTAATTAATTATTGCGATTGCAAACACTTACCTTTTACTTGTAAAATTATTTGTAAGGTTTATGTATGTAATTGGAAGCTAGTTTAAAACCAGATACAAATAAAAAGAATCGTGAATGAAACAAATGCATCTGCATTTGCCGAATTGAATACCTTGAACATTTTGAATTTCTGTTTCAACGTTGAAAAAAAAAAAAAAAACAAAAAACTAATTATTGCGCGGCAAATTCCGATAACAGCTTTGGCAGCGATTTCTATCCATAAATATATCGATAGCGTTCTAGCTAACACCACTAACCAAACAATGGCGATAGGCCAAACAAACGATAGGCCTAGGGAAAGAACAACATGAGGTGTGTTTACATGTTGTTATTTTTCTAAAAAACCAGCTGATCGATTTGTTTAGAATTAATGCGTAAAGCTTCATTAAACATGTATCTTCAAGTTGGTATACAGTGCATTGAGGGCCATTATCCCTGCAAAGGTGCAAAGGTGATTTTTTACGGTCATTTTGTATGGGGCTAGCAACGAGGTTGCTGCACTGTAGTACAAATATCTTAAAAACGTGCTGATCGATTTTTATAATTTTTTCAAGATTGGTTAGGTGAAACTATAGACTTCAATCGTGTATACGCGGTTTTTGGGGCCATTATCCCTAAACTAAGATATTTAAAGAATGGTGAAAACCTAACTTTTCAACCCCTTTGTTTACCCATATTATAAATTAAAATTCAAAAATAAATGAATATAGATAGTAAATAATTAAATTTTTTGCAATTTCGCATTTAAATTTATTTGGTTTCGTGCTAAAAAGCATAAATAAATGCATTTGAAAGTGACCGATACTTTTCCGATAACAAGTACCAAAATTCGACGCTAACTTGACGCACATAGTACGAGTAGTTTTACAGCTGCTGGCATCGATTGCAACTTGTTTTTGTTGGGCCAACGTTGCCTGTGCTATTTGTTATTAACACCGACCGACTTATTGCTGTTGTTATAAAGAAAAAGACATTGTCAAAATGCGTGAACAGCCCTTAAACGAGGTTACACAACTGATACACGCCGTCAAAATGGGGTAAGACAGGTACAACAACACAACTAACATAATACCTTGACTGACCATCAAATGTATCTGTAGTTTGGTGGAAGGTTCCTACAGCATTACCAACAAGACGCTGGACATCTTCAAGTATATAATTATGAGCAAAACCTGGCAAAATGCAGAGTAAGTCTGGCTTAAGATTATCAGTTATATCAATTATAAGCCACAATTTACAGTGCACTCATGCAAATTGTGCGCGCCCAGTCGCGTATCATGCAGGCGGCACTGCCACAAGAGACTGTCACTTCGAACATGGCACGACGCATACTGAAGCTGACGCGTGAGGAATTCGAGCTGCTCCAGGCAAAAGGTCAGCATTTTGCCGATGACTCGCAGGCTTCGCTGTCGCTACACAAACTGGTCACGCAGACCAGCGAGAATTGTGTCAGCGTGGACTACTCGGTGCCGCAGCAGGGGCTGCGTGAAGCTCTGCTTGATCATTTGCAGGAGGTTGAAACTGAACTGGAAACCAGCTCTGAGAACATAAGTGTCCAGGCCGAGGAGCACATACACTCCTCTGAAATAATACTCACGCTCGGACACTCGCGCAGCGTCGAAAACTTTCTCAAGCGGGCCATCAAGAAGCGACAACTCCTTACAATCATCGTAGCCGAGTGCGCTCCAGCCTGTCGGGTGAGTCAAGCGGCGCACTTTTGGCGGGCCATCAAATTTAAAGCCTGCTCTTACCGGTTGCGGTGCGGGACCGATTACTCCCATACAGTTCATTACGGCTGCAATTTAATATATCAAATCTACTTTTTTAATTCTCATGCAAACCCAATTCAAATTTCGAAACAGAGAAATAATTTGAGTTGACGATTGATTCGAAAAAATAATATTCTTTGCTCTTAACATGCGTTACATTTTCAAATGCAGCTTTGCCAGCTACTTGCTCAGTCTTGTCCCTGCACCAACATATTCAAATAATCTTATTCCGTATGAAGTTTCCTTCTCTGTGGGAAAATTCGATTTACTGCAAGCAGGCATGCGTGTCTACTAGCTAGCTTGACGTTGTCGGCTCGAATCCAGCAGCAATTTTCATATTTGTTTAATTCATTGCAATTATTCACGTAGATGAAAACAATGTAACATTAACGAACCAAACAATGGAAAGGAAAATTATTTATGTTGGCCGTTTTTTTTTTAGATTTTGTTTATAAGGACAGAGTAATATATATTAGTAGGATTTGGGCGGCATTGTTCATTTGCTCCGCGCTTTGCCAGATGAGTTCTTCTTGTATATAATAGTAGGATACCTTGACTAATCCCTCTATGCATATTTAATATCTCGCTGTCTCTCTCTCTCTCTCTCTCTCGTTCTATCTCTGTGTGCTGGCAGGGTCACAATTTAGCTGCCTCCTTGGCCCATGAGAAGAATGTGGAGATTATTGTAATAGCGGATGCGTCCATATTTGCGATGATGTCGCGCGTCAACAAGGTCATCATTGGCACACACAGCGTTCTAGCCAACGGCGGACTGCGAGCCGCATGTGGCGCCTACACAGTTGCCCTGGCTGCCAAGCATTACTCAGTGCCGGTCATTGTGCTGGCGCCCATGTACAAGCTGTCACCTTTGCACTTGTGTGAGCAGGATGCTTTTAATATGGTTGGCTGCGCCGAGGATGTGATTGCATATGACTCTGTGCCGGCGCGCGATGCCAAGGTGTACAGTCCCATGTTTGACTATGTGCCACCCGAACTGGTCACGCTCTTCATATCAAATACGTAGGTGTCCCTAATTGCCAACTTCTCGTTTAGACACTCATCGTGTTCTTGCTTATTCACAGCGGCGGTCATGCTCCCTCCTATGTTTACCGTTTGCTCTCAGAGCTCTATCATCCCGAGGATCTGGAACTTTAAAACGATTTGTTCAACTGATTGTAAATGATATATTTAAACCCACATGGACTGGACAACATTAACAACTACATCAACGAGAAATAAAATGGTAACTGTGCTCAATTAGCTGCTAACGCTGCACGTTCTTAAACAACTCTATGAAATCGGCCAGGCTGTCGGCATAGTAGTCCGGCTGCGCCTCCGGTGGTGCCGCAATCATGTCCTCTTTGGTTAGGCTGCCGGAGAGCACCAGCAGTGATTGAAAGCCACAGGACTTGCCAAACTGTATATCCTGTACCAGCATATCACCCACAAAAATACAACGCTCGGGCGCTTGTATATTGTAAATCTCCTTAAGCATATCACCAAGTATGGGCGATGGCTTGCCAAGAGAGATTGACTCGCGATTCGTATAGCGTTTGACATGCTGCAAGAAGTCATAGAAACCAGGTACATTGAGATTTTCGGCCAGTGGCATAATAACATCAGTGCCACCGGCAATTAGCTGGCAGTTTTCGTTCAGCTGCAGATGACGTATGGCCTTGGCCAGCTCCACATATGACATGTCCAGATGTATATCAAATAGCACAGCGTCCACAGTTCGCTCAATTGCGAGATAATTGACCAGTGAGGCCGACGTCAGATGCTCCTTGATTTGCTGCAGTTATATGTTTTCGTTATAGTTTTAGATTAATACAGGAACTGTTTAGACCCACCAATGACTCATACTCGATGCCGTGCTTACGCAACGTCTCATTGGCTTCCAGCGACATGAGCGAGTAGACGCGTTTGCCGGGCTTGTGCTTATGCAAATAGCGTACAATACTCTTCACCGGATGGACTACATCGTCGTGTTGCACATTGATGGCGCCAATATGATCAAATTTCTCCATATACTGATCGTCGGTGCGGAAACTATTGTTCGACACGAACTTGACGGATTTGCCGGCATTTTTAAGCGCATTTATCGCCTCGCCGGCACCTGGTATCCAGCCAACCAGCAGCCAGACAACGCCATCGCAATCGCTGATTACCATATCAAAGGAGTCAATAAAGCTGCGCTGCTCCTCAACGCTAAGATCAAGTATATGCCGTGGCGCCATGATGTTCACACCCGATGGGAACGAGACTGAGACCGCAACTAACCCGGCAATTTGTCCGTAACTATAGCTGCCTACTTGAGCTACTTGGAGGCGGCAGTCGAAGGCGGTGGTGGATGCTGTTGCGCGCGCACGCCAATTAACAGGCCAACTGAATGCCAAGGCGGCCGTTTAACCTTCAACGTCACATTGAGGCTCCAGCTGTTGCCGCTGCTGCTTTGACTATGGCGGCAGTAATTATGTCTATTTAGAGCTTGATTTAACTGTTTAGCTAAGTACCAACTACCTTGATTGTGACTGATAAGATCTCATGTGCCCAGACCATGCCTTTAAAGGGGCATCTAGGGAGTATTTACATTTCGTGCTTTCAGCCTGAGCACGCAGTGCCTTGCAATGGACACACGCGTACATCTCTTATTGCGTTACATTTTAGTTAAATATTTTGCCATTGCCTTCATAAAGATAACGCGCGCACGCCAGCGTTGCCAGACTCACAAAACAAAACATTTAATAAATCAATGCGTGCTTGAAAGCTGACAAGTGTGGATTCCCAATCAGAATTTGGAATTTTCGGAATGCAGGGTGACCATATCTTAAGCTTTTCAATCAAATTGTAGTTAATTCTTAACAAGTCCAAAAGTCGACTGTGTAATGTGTGCGACGGGATCAATAGGATCAGCAACTGTCCCGATTATTCGTTTGAGCTTACAACGGCAGGAAGTTCAGTTTTGATCTATCATTTCTAATTCAGCTATATTGATCCGATCGGTACGAATCCGGAATATAAATTCTGATCTTTACGTTTAAGATCGATAGCTTGACTCAAGAACTTTTGTAGTTTTTCCAAAACGAATTGTCCGATTTGCATTCAACTTACTTGCAAAGCTTTTCATTAGAACTTAATGAATATGTGCTTTGGGAAATTTCACCCGCCACAGTGAAACATTGGCGGAAAACGAATTTATACATGCCACGGATAACGCCGGGGTATACCCGTTAATACACATACGATACATATATACTCTACCATAATTTCTATTACAGTTTTTACACTTATGATTAAATTCGAACAATACAAACCGTAGTTAATTAAGAGTGAATTTGCTATAGTAAGGAACTAAGGAAAACAGCAGGAAATTATGTAAACAAGGAAATTATCAGGGAATTTTAACGGCGCTGAATTGGAACTGTCTCCAAGTCGGGCACGTCCGATTGGAGAAATATGGTATAACTTGTAACAAGCCGGCTTTCCAATTGGATTCGAACGGTTATTGTTAGATTATTGCTTGGCATGAGCATTGTACACAGGTGCATACATATATGTATGCAATATATGCATATGTATTAGTTGCACAAAAGCGAAAGTAAGCCCTAACGCACCTTGACATTGGCCATGATTTTCACGGCTCGGCTGAGGCAAAACAAATGCAGCAATTGGCGAAAAGCAAAAACCTGAACGTGGCAAATCGGAAAAGACAACAATTGGAATATATGTCCACACATTTAACTGTGGCGCAGTTCTAACCGAAAGATAATTGCAAGAAGACGCCTGCCGGGCATGAAGAGCCGGAGACGAAGACAGAGACGCAGACAGAGACGTGGACGGAGCAGTTCGACTAACTGAGCAGATAGTTAACGTGCGTGAAATGGGCATGGTAAATACGTAGATATATCTATATATATATATATGTGTGTGTGCTCTATATATATGTATGTATATATATTTATGTGCATATATCAAAAATCCAAATCGATTGGCAGCCTAGTTAGGCGGTTCTGATAAGATAGAAGACGCGCCGCGCTACGAAAACGGTGCGGCACACTCACCAAGTACACACACACACACACACACACACACACACACACACTCATAGATAGACAAGCAGCAACGATATATATGTACATAAACGGGCGGAGGCATCGAGAGCTGTGCAAGTCCCAAGTACTAGTCGCGATTATACAATTATTAGGCAACAAGCAGGAAACATGAGCAGTGCCGTCCAAGTGAACGCTACGAGTGCCAGCAATGGCCATTCCTCGCAGGAGGAGTGCGCCGCCGTCAGCAACAGCGCCTGCTCCGCCTCCACATCCGGCACGGCAGCAGCGGCAACGGTACCAGCTATCCCGGCGATCCCGGCGAGCGGCAACAACATCGAACAGCTAAAGATTTTGGGCCAGCTGAGCAGCATCGAGCAAATCAACGAGCAGCGACGCATCTTCCTCAAAAGCACCATCAACGAGATCCAGGAGGAGGCCAGCAACGAGACGGACGCTGCCGCGGAATCGTTGCCCGAAATGCGCAAGCCGCCGCCCAACAGTCTACCGCTGAACGTGAAATATGCGACGCTGCCGTCCCCATCATTGGTCACATCGACGCTGGTCCGTTCGCCGCTGTCGCCGCCACCCAAGCCGCCCATGTTGAGTCGTACGCGCAGCACCGGCTCCGGCGATGGACGCACGCCCTCGAGCAATGGGGATGTGGCTCTGCTGCGGCACAGCGTTACGGAGACGGCCGTCGCAGCAGCTGCACCAGTTGCGGAAACAACAAAAGCAACTGCAACTGCAACAACAACAACAACAACAACAACAACAACAACGAGCGCCGAGCAGCCAAACCCAACGCCAGCAACCATATCGGCTAAGCACTACGAGAGCCTGATCGAGGAGCTGCGCTGTCCCGGCTGTGCGGGCCCAATGAAGGCACCGGTACTCCTCTGCAAGAGCGGGCACAGCGTGTGCGAGCAGTGCACCCGCATTCTGCTCATGTGTCCGCTGTGTAAGGTATGTCCATCAGCAGTCGCGATATCATTTTCTAGATCCAAACAGTTGTACATATGGCAATCAGTTGGCTCTCCGTCTGGCTGACGTCAGTGTGTCGGGCCAGCGATATCTAGCACTTTGCATCTTATCGCTTCTACTTATGTTATATGACGTCTTGCCAGCAACACACAGTGAAGCCTCTCAAGTCACGGTTGTTCGCTAACGGAACCTTGTTTTGTTGTTAAATGCTTGAGTGTCAGCCCGGGCTGACATATGTATATCTCTTTTAGAGTTCACAGTCGATCAACGACATTTTGGGCTAAGTTTTAAGTTTTGTCCGATTTACATTCAATTTATATTCAGAGCTCTAAATAAGAACTTAATGAATACGTCTTTCAGCGCTTTGGACAATTTCACCCGCCATAGTGGAAAACTGGCGGAAATTCCCTCTTTGAGGGAATTTATTTGAATCGTGCCTCGGCTAAGGCCGGATTATATTAACATGTAGTTATATTCAATTTATCTCTAGCGTTTTTTTTTTATACCCTGAACCCATTAAAAATGGGTATAAGTGTATATTGTATGTGTGCAAAATCCAAACCCAACTTTTATTGCCAACCAATTTAAGCCAAAATTTAAATGCAATTGACTTTTTCAGTATACACAAATATTCTATGATACAATAAGATATACTGTAGAAAATATCATAAAGATCGGTTAGAAAAAAACCAAAGTTATGTGCAACTGCGCAATTGAATAGAGCAGCATCTTTTAGAATTTCTGTATACCTGTACAAACACACATTCATGCGCGTCTGCTTCCCATTTTAATAGCATGGTTATTGCGAAATGGCAAGGGGTTACATTACGTTTTTTTTTCAAAATCGAGGTCCGTGCAAAAATCGAAAGAAGATATGACGTTCCAAAACGACATAACTCCGCGCGGATATATGACCTTCCAAATCATCAAGATGTTTTTCAAGATCGAGGTCGGTGCGAATATCGAAACTTTTTCGATGATTTTTTTTAATATCTCGGGTAAATAATGTCTGATTCTAAAATGTTATACCTTTTTGAATGCGTACGGATCCCTACCATCAATTGGCATTCAAACAAATGAATCATTCGTTCGTAAATTCCATCTTTTTGATGGTATTTTGAAATATTTCCGCCAAATAATGTCCGATTTTGGAATTTTATACCATTTTTGACTCGTAAGGATTAGTTCTATCGATTGGCATCAAAAAAAAGGATATCCAAAATTTTGACCCAAATCGACAAAATGGACAAATAGCTCCGCGCGGAGATATGACGTTCCAACACGACATAACTCCGCGCGAGGTCGGTGCGAAAATCGAAAGAAGATATGACGTTCCAAAACGACATAACTCCGCGCGGATATATGACCTTCCAAATCATCAAGATTTTTTTCAAGATCGAGGTCGGTGCGAAAATCGAAACATTATGATTTTTTTTTAATATCTCGGGTAAATAATGTCTGATTTTAAAATGTTATACCTTTTTCAAACAAATGAATCATCGATGGGTTGAAAAATGTTGTTGACAAAAAACCCATTCGTTGCTAAATTCCATCTTTACGATGATTTTTTGGAATATTTCCGTCAAATAATGTCCGATTTTGGAATTTTATACCATTTTTGACACGGAAGGATCAAAAAAACCGGAATCCACAATTTTGACCAAAATCGACAAAATACACAAATAGCTCCGCGCGGAGATATGACGTTCCAAAACGACATAACTCCGCGCGGAGATATGACGTTCCAAAACGACATAACTCCACGCGGAGATATGACGTTCCAAAACGACATAACTCCGCGCGAGGTCGGTGCGAAAATCGAAAGAAGATATGACGTTCCAAAACGACATAACTCCGCGCGGATATATGACCTTCCAAATCATCAAGATTTTTTTCAAGATCGAGTTCGGTGCGAAAATCGAAACATTATGATTTTTTTTTAATATCTCGGGTAAATAATGTCTGATTTTAAAATGTTATACCTTTTTCAAACAAATGAATCATCGATGGGTTGAAAAATGTTGTTGACAAAAAACCCATTCGTTCGTAAATTCCATCTTTATGATGATTTTTTGGAATATTTCCGTCAAATAATGTCCGATTTTGGAATTTTATACAATTTTTGACTCGTAAGGATCAGTTCTATCGATTGGCATCAAAATGAAATCCAAAATTTTGATCCAAATGGACAAAATGGCATCACGTTTTTTTTTCAAAATCGAGGTCGGTGCGAAAATCGAAAGAAGATATGACGTTCCAAAACGACATAGCTCCGCGCGGAGATATGACGTTCCAAAACGACATAGCTCCGC